CTGTGGTCGACTACATGGGAGTCCAGCGACATAGCCATTAGGCCAACTGCTGGTCCCTATTTATAGATTTTTTAATGTAAATCTCATTTTCTTGCCTCTCTTGTCCATCTATCTCAGGATTTCCTAACTTTGTCTTTTGTTTTGCCTTCCTAGGGACAACTAAGTTAATAATACTGATATTACATGAAAATGTGACTATTAATAGCTAGAATGAAATAAAGGATGATAAAGTGGATTAGATCATCATGGTCTTTAGGGTGGTACTGAAATCGTTCATTTCTTTTTGCTATAGGGTATGTGTGCTCACCAGAGAGAGACACAGAGGGAAAGTGAGAAAGCACCCCTCAGGGGGTATGGCCATGTCACAGTCCCTTCTCTTCTTGGGATATTGGGCATACCTAGTGTGTTTCTCAAGCTGGTGTGCTCAGGATTTAAAATGCACAGTCAGCCTTGTGAGATCTGGCCACTGTAACCACCAAGCCACCAGCTGACCCAATGACTGGTACCTTTTGAGAAAAAAGAGGAAAATTTAATACAGCAACATATAAGGAAGAAGGCAATGTGAAGATGGAGGCAGAAATGGGAGTTACAATGCCACAAACCAAGGAATATCAGGAGCCATGAGAGGCTGGAAAGGACAAAAGAGGACTCTTTTCTAGAATTTTTGTTGGAAACATGGTTCTGAGAATATGTTGACTTCTGACCTCTAGATCTGTGAGAAAACAAATTTCTGTTTTAAACCACTCAGTTTGTAAAAATTTGTTATGGTGGCCTAGAAAACTGATATAACTACCAAGAAAACATTTTAGATTTTCTTTCTTCCTTTTTTTCTTTCTTTCTTTCTTTCTTTCTTTCTTTCTTTCTTTCTTTCTTTCTTTCTTTCTTTCTTTCTTTTCTTTTCTTTTCTTTTCTTTTTTTTTTTTCTTTGTCTTAGGGTATATGTGCTGGCCAGGAGAGAGAGAGAGAAGGGTAGAATCAGTGAGAGGGAAAGTGAGAAATCACCCCCTCCCCAAGGTAGATGACCATGCTGCAATCTCTTCTATGTTCTACTCCTTGATCTTGGGCACGAACATGCATCCTGTGTGAGTTTGAAGCCACCGGGTCCTTAATTCGAACCATGATGGTTGGCCACATGAGAGTCCAGTAACGTAACTGCTACACTATCTGCTGGGCCCACATTCCAGATTTTTTCAATGTAAATCTGTTTTTGCATTACTTTATGAAAATTTCCCTCCTTTCCCAATGAAGACTGATCCTCTGATCACAAGGTTAAGACTGACCTTTTTATTGTTTATTTATTTATTTTGGAGAGGTTTTTATATAGGGTGCATGTGCTTGCCAGAAAGACAGACAGCGAGAAATCACCCCCCAGGGGGGATGGCCACACTACAATCCCTTCTCCTCCATTCTCCTCTCAGAATCTTGGGTGCACATGCACACACACACACACCAGGTGTGAGTTTAAGTCACCAGGTCTGGTCCACTACATGGGAGTCCAGTGACATAGACATTACTCCATCTGTTGGTCCCAAGACTGGTGCTTCTAATTGTTACAAAATATTTGAAAGCATTGATTTTATCGAAACTGATTCTGGTCGGGACCAGCAGTTGGCATAATGGCTATGTTGCTGGACTCCCACGTAGTCGACCGTGGTTGAGTCCTGGACCATTTGGCTTAAACTCAAGTTGGGCTCATGTGCATGCATGTCCAAGATCCTGAGAGGAGAATGGAGGAGAAGGGATTGAGGCGTGGCCATCCCCCCCTGGGGAGGTGATTTCTTGCTTTCTGTCTCTCTGTCTCTGTCTTTCTGGCGAGCGCATGTGCCCTATAGCAAAAACCTCTAAAAAAATTTGATCCTGTACAACAAACAAAAACCTTGTATATGAAAATTCTGATTTCAATAACTCCTATTTCACTTCCTCAGTAATTATAGACAGAAAAATAGCAGGGAAGTTATACCTATTCATCAATCTATTGTTCATTATCTTCAAATTCACCCTCATCAACTGTTGAAAATGTATTTGAATCATTTAAATATTTTTCCTTTTGTCAGCTGGCACTGAATATTTGTCCATAGAGAGCACTGGAAAACAGTCCAGAAGATTTTGTTTCCTCCTCTGGTGGGCTCACTAGGTAGGTTGCTCCTGGTGCTAGTGCACCTCTCTCCAGTACCTGGCTTCTATGGTACACAATTTCAGTACCACCAGGCAACTTTCCCTGGAACCCTCCCAGAGAAAGTGGTTTTATAGTTTAGTGCCTCTTGTAAGATACTTCCCTGTGAACATGTACTCAGGCACCCTCTTAGGAGGGGTTTCTAGAGTTACAGTATGGCAGAGTTTCAGTAATTTCTAGAGGCTGTAATTTCAGCAAGTTCTACCTGGAAGGCACCACAGCATCTTCCCTGCTATGAGAAGAACTTCTTTTTTGGAAAGGTTTTTGCTATAGGGTGTGCGCACTTGTCAGAAAGACAGAGAGACAGAGATAGAAAGTGAGAAACCACCTCTCTGGGGGATGGCCACGCCACAATCCCTTCTTCTCCATTCTCCTCTTGGGATCTTGGGCACACACACACATGCGCCTGGCACGAGTTTAAGCCACTGGGTCTGGGATTCCAACCGCGGTTGACTTCATGGGAGTCCAGCAACGTAGCCATTATGCCATCTGCCGGTCCTTGAGATGAATTTCTATACCTATATCCTCTTCGAGAGGTTTGGATCTTGGTCCTGGACAAGGATTAGGAGTGGAGGATGGTGTTACACTTCACTCCTAGGGATAGTGTATATGGCATCTGCTACTGTATTATGCATCTGCTACTCCTATATTCTTTATAGTTCTCTTTACTCTTTACTAGCTGATCCACTCTCCTGGCATCATTATTAATAACTTATTTTAAACTTTCAAATTATCGTGTGATTTTTCTTTTCTGATTATACCCTGACACTGGGATAAAAGTGCCACATAGATATTGAAAGAGTTAACTTTATCACATGACTTTTACAACAATTCCTGTTGAAGTAGACATAAAAAGTACTAATTTTTCTAGATTTAATTTAATTTAATTAATTTATTTTAATTTGACCATAGAGGGACAGAGTGAGAGAGGAAGAGAATGAGAGAGAACATGAGAAAGCAAGCCACCAGGTCTATGACTCGAACCATGGTTCGTGATGTGGGAGTCCAGCACCCTTAACCACCACAACACTTGCTAGCCCCAAGTAGTGTTCATTACTCATATTTTATAGGTGAGGAACAAAGTCCACAGAATGTAGAACAGTGATCCAAAGTCATGTAGTCATTTTTATTATCTGTAAAATGGGAATAACAATAGAATCTACCTTTTAGGGTCCTTGTAAAAATCAAGTGAAGTAAAACATGCAAAGTGCTTAGTACATACATAGTAATGGCTTAATCTATATTAACTGTTACACATATTATACTTGAACTGTAAAAACTATTTAGTCTGATATTTTGCTATACTATTTGCAGTCAGTTGTCTACATCTTATGTATTTTTTCAGTATCTAGTTTTACAATTAGAGGTATTTTTTTCAAGTACCATAGCAGGACAAGCAAAGATAAACCTACTACTTCACAATTAACTTGTATGGCTACTGTTTTTGAGAAAAGCATTTGCCAGAATGAGAGGTAATCAACTTAGGCTAATGACAGTTTAGTGGAATTCAAGGCTGAGTTTTGAGTAAGAAAACTAAATTCCTAAAAATCCAACCCTAATGAAAAAGACGAACCTACAAAACTGATTATAATTCAATGTAAATAACACGCCACTTAACACAGCATTTCTAGTTTCATCAGGTTTGGCTTCCATAAATTCTTTTGGTCCAGGCATAGGTGATAACAGGATGTTCAAGTAGGGAAGGAGAGATCCAGTTTAGTATACCTGTGTCAATTATTACACAAACCCTTCGATCACTGAAAAATTTTAGTAACCAGACACTTTAAGACAGTGATGTACTAAGTCTTGGAGTTATATATTAAACAAAGAAATGTAGTCCTGAACCTACAGGAAACCACTTTGCATAGAGATGTGTAATACATAAATATCCTTGATTAATGCAAGATACTTTAGCAGTATGTAAAAACATAATAGAAAAACTGTCCCATAGGACCGGGACAAATACTTCATGTGTTAAACTTTCAGAAAGGTGAAAAATGCTTCATGACTGACTGCATATTTCTCATGCACTATTTATCAGACTTGGCAAATATTTGAAGTGGTCTTCATCATAATGATACAACTGTTTATGTATGGCGTTTGCACTTGGTAGAAAAATAATTTTGAGAAACAAGTGAAGATCAAGTAGGCCCTCCTTTGCCTCCCTCAGACATACAAACCTCTAGCAGCTACTCTCCTTTCCCTGGGGGAGACAAAAACAAAACAACTTCGGTACGCGGAAAAAAAAAAAAAAAAAAGAAAAAAGCAGTTGCGACTAGGCGGCCCCTCAAAAGTTTCTCAACATCATCCCACGAGGTAAGGGTGCTGGATAGGAAAGAGCCCAAAGGCCCTCACAGGAAGAGCAAGTCACTCCAGAATTCTCAGACGCAAACGCCACCACAGAGTTTTACAGCGGTTGCTAGAGCGTCTGCTGCCAGTTAGCACCTCCCCCTCCTTCCCAGGACGGTAGCTAGGCAACCGTCGGCCCACTGGGATTGCGGAAGCCCGGCGGCCGCCTTAGTGCCTCTGGCGGCGAATGTAGAGCACTGCAGGCCCCTGTCACCATTTTTACCCTCCCTTCTCTCCACCCCCTTTGCCTCCGCCCACCCCTCCGCCACTTCGGCTCCTCCCTGTGCTTCTCTCTCA